GCCAACCACCTCCTAACTTAACATGAAAAAATCCCCATTGTTACCATTCATGCCAACCACCTCCTAACTTAACATGAAAAAATCCCCATTGTTATCATTCGTGCCAACCACCTCCTAACTTAACATGAAAAAATCCCCATTGTTACCATTCATGCCAACCACCTCCTAACTTAACATGAAAAAATCCCCACTGTTACCATTCATGCCAACCACCTCCTAACTTAAGATCCAAAATCCCCATTGTTATCATTCGTGCCAACCACCTCCTAACTTAATATGAAAAAAATCTCCATTGTTACGATTCATGCCAACTACCTCCTAACTTAACATGAAAAAAATCCCCACTGTTACCATTCATGCCAACCACCTCCTAACTTAACATAGAAAAAAATCCCCATTGTTACCATTCGTGCCAACCACCTTCTAACCTAATACGAAAAAAAAATCCCCAGTGTTGCCATTTTAAAGAACTCAAAGATTAATAACTGATTATAAAAATTACATGCATTAAATGATAAAAAGAAATGAATAAAAGTTGATTAAACAGTAATTCCATTTAGTTACATGTACTGTTAGCTTAATCACTGCGTATTAGCAAAAACATTCGGTTAACACTTGACAATAATGTTGATTACTAACCTTGTTCTTGGCTATACTTTGACTGGCAGACACTAAAGACTGGATACACATGGATAAGACCTCTTGAGACAAGCCTTGGAAAATAGTCTTCTGCAATACAATTATAAAAATGTTGTGGTTCTATTTTAAGAAAAATCATAATATACAGCCACCCAATTTACATATACTCATGGTCACTTATAACAATAGCTTCAGTTTGGCATTTACATTCTCCGTTAATTATTAGTAAATCAAGTTCATACCGGATTGAAGGATCCATAGTATATCAATAGCTCAATATTTGGCACACTAGACAAAACAAGTAGGACAATCAGATCATCAGTGGTAACTTTGTTTACAACCTTCTTGTGGAATTAATTTACAAAATTAGCCTTATTGAAATAAATAACCTACAATATAACCGCTCATTGCTATAGCAGCTAGTTCAACTATTTTTATATTTTGTTTACAGCTTTTCATTCTTTTAAATTTCCAACTGTGACAAGTTGTTGTTCTTTGTTGAATTTCTCACATAGTTACTTCAGAGCTTTTTGCAGTAACTGTCCCTAATTTTAAAAGTAGAGAAAAAGTTGCTAGTCAGTCAACATTAACCACTGCCAACTCTTGAGCAACTCTAATTCAATAGTGATTTGACTGTCACTCTTATAATGCAAAAAATAGCATCAAAGAGCGAAACCCTTTTTTTTACAATAAAGAAACAGGAACCATGGAACTCTGATTCACAGTTTGGCATGCTAACCACTAGGCTGTGATTGGCCAACTAAAATAAGACATTCAGACTAAAGATAAGCTTGTAATACAGGTTACAGCAGGTGAGTTAAACTAGTAATGTGAGGGACAAAATATACTGGCTTGCAATGATTATTGAACCAAACAGAGTTAATCCAAAAAAAAGGAAATTGTAACAATTGTCAGTGCAATGGATACACTCAATATTTCAGACTTAACTCTCACGTAATGTGCAAAAATGGCTATTCAATCAAGATATCAAGAAAAATGAAAAGTAAAAAATAATTTAGAAAGTAATTTCTGACACTTGTGACAAAAAACAAAAACAAGTACTCATACTTCAGTTCAATAGTTGAAAAAATAAATTATCAAAATGGCAAATCAAATTAAAAACTTACCTCCAAGCATCGGTACAATTTGGACAAACATACTAATGTTCGACGGACTGTGGGGTACCACATGCCATGGAGATCAGCTGGTGAATCTAATGAAAAATGAAAGTCACTTACATAACTCAAACAGACATACTAACTATTTCAGTACTATAGCTGGTTCAGGTGTTATTCTTCATCTTACCAATCAGTTTGGTTTAAATAAATGTAGGGGATTTTTTTTTAAGTTCCTCAGCATGTTCCAACATCAATAAAATGAGAAATATCGGACATACACCAATACTTCTTAGTGTATATACTGATGACGTCAGAGGAAACACAAATCCATGGTCACAAGAGAATCATGTACCTACTTACTGTGGACACTACTTATGTAAATGGTGGTTTGCATCCTTGGAATGCCACGACAGACAGATGACCACTATCCAACATGGCTATATACTGTCCAATGGCATCTTTCAAAGCCGGTCAACTTAGCAGCCACAACATGATACACACATAACTTTACATTTTACCAAGGCAAAAAAGTCAAGTGGGTCATCTCAAAGCATGTAGCCATACTGAATATTCAACAAGTCCATTCATCTGTCTATCACACCACCTTATAAAGCAGATTTAGTGCCACCTGGTGACCAAGGATTCATTTACCACTTTTCAAATAATTTCCAATGTACAAAGTATTTAATTTTTGTTATAACTTGTTACACTTGTGAGAGAAGTTATATTATTCAGATGTCACCTTGTTTATAAATGTAAATACATTATTTTACATGACTATTTGCTCAGTAGTTACAAATTCTTAAGTCTTAATTTGTCTTGATCACTAAAAACTTTGGTCCAATCATTGCGAATGCAAAAAATAAAAATAAAAAAAGACGAAACATAAAAATATAAGCTCTATTTGGGGACATGTAGATTGCCAGCCAGAATTGCACACAATTAATGTTACTTATTACAAAAAGAAGCAACTAAATGAAAATGATGAGGTAGAAATATAGAGAAGTTTACAGAAAAATATGTTAAGAAAGAGTTTTTTTTAACAATTTCTTAAAAAAAAGAAAAATATGCTTAGCACAATAAAAATACAAAAACAGATTTAAAGTACACATCAAACTGCTGTACTGTAAAGGGAAGATCGTGCAATAGTCAGGAAATATTTCTTCAAACATTCAAGGTACATTAAAAATGTATATTCAGCATCTGCAAATGCCAAACTAAACAGTTCATGATTTGTTTTCCTTGACCTTACTTAAAAGTTTAATCACTAAAAGCCCATAAATTTTTGGTAAAAAGTATATACTGTTCTACTGTGGTTTGTATGATTAACCAGTTAGCATGTAGGTGGTTACATCTTGGTGTCAAGAGCAGTGAGAGATGACACTGAATTTTTATTCTTCAATTGTTAAAATATAACAAATATTTACTGATAAAAAATATATCCACATAAAGAACTCCTGAGTTTAAACAAATAAATCTGGAAGCATGAATTTTTAATACTTTTGCTTCGGCACAAATCAATAACTGTGGGTGAATGAAACATCCTGCTTTCTACCATTTTTCACCTCTTGGTCTATGTAGTTTTTGTTCTGTACACAAACAGAACATTACAAACAACTTTGTTAAGTTTATAAAAACATAAAACATTAGTTTCCCTAATTTTGTGTAAAATATATGTGTGTTTACTTTTAATTTACTTTTCATTCATTAACGTTCTCTATGATATTTATTATACATCAGGACATGGAGTGGAAAATTACTTCTCATAACCTTCATAGGAAAGGTTTTTGCATGGATTTTTATTTACATTTTAATCCTTAACAGGGATTTGTCAAGTTTTTGTAAGCTTTGCCATGAAACTACATTTGTGGGTATTTTAATACTTTACAGGAATTGGCCAGTTTTCTCAAGTTATGTGATGGGACTTTACATGTTTGGTTGTTTTAATTAGGTTTCCATATAATTACCTCACAGTTACAGTTAGTCTATATTTATAACACACGTTTCAAGCCAACTGAACATAAGACACGGGAAATATGTTACTTTTCTTATTTAAGTATAAACTTTCATGGCCGTTTGGCATCATAAAAGAAATGAGAATTTCAGGGAAGTTTACTTTGCTTAAATACTCATTCCACGTATAACCAGTCTTTGCTACTTATTTTGTAGATCAAAATGATATTTTGGATTATAAATCAGATCTCATATAAAACTTTCTGTTATAAATACTTCCAAGTTATCTTACATAAAACAGTCCTTCCTTTGACAGGAACACTCGGATTTAATTCTGACGCTGACTGGGACATGGTGGTCTCCATCACTTGTTCGGACGCTGAAACTGACATGACTGCAATACTTTCCTCTCTGTTCTTAGACTCTCTACTAACACAGGCTGGCGCTGAAGTAGTTGACCCTAGGGAGGATCGAGAACTGGAGCGGCTAAGGGGCTTTTGAGCCAAGCTCTCTGCAATGTTCTGTGAGCAGATTAATAAATGCTCTTGAAGTTTTGACAATGTATTTCATTTATACAAAAATATCTGATTCCTCAGATTCTAAATGTGTAAATGTTTATAAGAAACTGCCCTTAAAATAAAAAGAAATTGAAATATACAGAAAATCATGTTAATATACTGAAAATTAAAAAATAATTTAAATTATAAGTTGTATGTTTATAGGGTGATTTCAACACTTTTGTTTTAGGTGGCAAAAATAAATTAAACAAATAAGTAGGAATACAAAAGTACGAATTGCTACACAAATTATCACCTACTACAAAAATTACAAAAAATCAACATTCAACAACGGAACTAGGTAAGGAAAACAATTCTCAATCGGTTAATTATGAAAATGGAATTATACCTCAACTATGACATTGATACTTGTATCTAATGTTAGAGATATAGGGTAATTATAAAAACAAAAAACATATTTAAAATAACATCTTAAAAACTAATAGTCCTAAAGAAGCAAATGACACCAGGGGTAAACTGAGAACTTAAATTTTCAGTCTAGAAAGGTTACAGTGACTTCAGTTTCCTCTAGAGTGGTGTATACAAGGAACAGTGTGTATGTTGTATGGTGTAGGAATACAAAAGTACGAATTGCTACAAAAATTATCACCTACTACAAAAATTACACAAAATCAACATTCAACAACAGAACTAGGTAAGGAAAACAATTCTCAATCGGTTAATTATGAAAATGGAATTATACCTCACCAATGACATTGATACTTGTATCTAATGTTAGAGATATAGGGTAATTATAAAAACAAAAAACATATTTAAAATAACATCTTAAAAACTAACAGTCCTAAAGAAGCAAATGACACCAGGGGTAAACTGAGAACTTAAATTTTCAGTCTAGAAAGTTTACAGTGACTTCAGTTTCCTCTAGAGTGGTGTATACAAGGAACAGTGTGTATGTTACGGCTTTGTGTACCTTCAGACTATTAAGTTAAGAGTCAAGTCAAATAATCAGTATTAATTGTTTCCTTTGTTTCCATTGCATACCACAACTGCTTGTCATTTGTCATACATTATTCATTTTATGTCATGTTCTTTTTAAATGTTTTTATTCTATTAAGTAGCCGCTTGGTATTTGTTTCAATACTTACGTTTATGCAATAATTTTTACCATACACAGACAAAATTATCTTTCCTTTAAAGACAAATTGAAAGAGCTCTCTTAGGTAGTGTACATAAAAAAGTACACCTTTAAAATTAAGATTTTTTCAATTTTAAACATTTTGACTGTACTTACTGTCTTGCTAACTAATTAACTGTCCAAAACTATACCTTATTCATCAAACAATAGAAAAACATAAAGCAAGTGCCATGAGGAAGTAGAATTTCTTGCAGGGCACTGCAAGTGATACCCGAGTGTTTGGACAGTTTCTTAGCTTCAACAATGCGAGTAGAGCTACAGACGAAATGTTAAGATTTTACGAAGGTCTTTTAATTGTGAATTTGAAACCAATTTTAATTCAACTTCTTCTAAATCTATATATTTATTTTACTCTGGTAAAAGAGACGTGTAGTACCCGTGAATCTTGTACATCCTAATAATTCAATTATCTATAACAAACACCTACGAATGTACCTGCATCATTTCTAGTTTTTCCGGATAAGCTAAGTCTCCTGGAGCGGGATGATAATTCAGAATATCTGTTCTGATGTAAATGTGGGTTCTGTAGGCCAGTCTTTCCTGAACATCTTCCAACATCTGCTGGGCCACGTTAGCAAAAGCTTCAAGCTGTTTGGCTGAAGGCAGTGTATAAAATTAAATATTAAATTTTAATAAAACAAACAGAATAAGTTGCTGTAAAATTTAAATCTTTGAAATGTGTATAAAAATATTATGATTAAAATTGTACATGAGCATCTGCAGGGGGTGTCAAGAATTAGGCACTTGCCCCCACTGAAAAATGAGAAAAAAATGTATTTCTTTATTCTTTCATTGCGTGTGTGTATTTGATGTATACTTTGCCACCCCCCTTGAGAAATTCCTGTGGATGCTCATGGAACTGTATTTATTGTTTGTTTTTCATCAAAAAATATGTTGAGTAAAAAAAAAACATAATGAAGTAAATATTTTTCCCAATAAAAGTTATATTTTAATTATTTAGTTTGAGTTATAGGTGACAAAAACACAAATATGTGCTTATGTTTCAAAGCAATGGAGGTACGTGGCTAGTTTATGTATAGTGTTTAATGATTTTAACCAGCAAGTTCTTTATCCATAGTTAACTAATGGTAATAATCCATTACTGGGATGACATTAAAATGTAAGTGAAATTTGTGTCAGAAAAATATTTGAAATTACTATAAACAATGACTTTGTATGTTGGTGTCTTTCTCAATAAAATGAATCAAAAATTTTATGTGTATGATACATGTTTCTTTTCAGTATGACTGAACTGTAATGGTAAGACACTTAGAATCAATTTTGATGCTTTGCTTTCCAGAGGCCAGTGTATCCAACAAATTGCAGTATTTTTGTGATACGATAAAACTATTTTCTTTTATTCAATCATTTAATTCTAACAATGAGACGGGTGCAGGTTACCTCAAGGGCAAAACTATACCATTAAATTGTCATTTTTCCACACATTAAAAGAAAAGAAAATACAAAGTAATAAAAGTTTAGCTTGGTGATACGTTGCTAGAAGAACAGGTGTTTGTGAACAGTTTACGTTAAAGTTACAAACCTAATTTTTTTGTTTAAAGCTTACTTTATCATTTTATATTTCAATTGAATTATTATGTTGAAGCACGATAAGAAATGATTTTTGTGGAACAAGATGAGATAGGCTTAGTTTTATTATTTTTCACTCGACTATATCAAATTTAATTTCACCAACAAGATTGCTGTGTTAGGTTTTGTTCGCATTAGGCTATATCAGCCTAAGTAACTGCTTGAATGAGGATTGAAAAGAAATGTAAGAAAGTATACATACATAATTTAATATAAAAGAGGATTAAAACTTATTACATATACATTAAACTAGATGTACTTCCACAGGGTCCCCAGAAATGTTCTGTTTCATGTGTAAATAAAATCAAAATTAAAAGTAACAATTATTTTTATTTCTTACTTTTGAAGTTCATATGTCATGCATGCTGTGTTGTAGCCTACAGAGTGCATAATTATTCTCATGATTCATGGCATGTGCACATTTTACTGATGTCATGACAGTACAAATTGCAACGTTAGGCGTACCTTATGTGACATCATTTTAGTACTGACTGACAGACAACACACTACTGTATAGTGGTGTGAGTGGTTAAAACAGGTCGACCCCCCCCCCCCCCTCCAGACAGCCTTCAGCCCCCTTTAAGGGAAATTAAATGTTTTGGTTAACAATTCAAAAAAATTGGTTTGATTGTAACTTTGTAAGTTATTATTATTTTATGCTAGTGATCATAAACACAGCATAACTACTTGTGTTTTTCCTATCAAAACAAAGATAAAAAAATTTACAGTTTCATAAGATATTTATAGAAAAGTTTCAAAAGAATATAGTAAGACACATAAATCAATAATTAAAACCTAGAATAAAGTTAAGCATTTCTGTTTCTTAAAAAATATATCACAATGAAATCTGGAAATTTCAAAGCAGCAAATTCATATAAATATCACAAATAAATATTTTATTTACAGAAGCTACATAGTAATTCTGAAGGTTCAAACTGTTACATCCAGTAGTTTATTCTCAATGTAATAAAACAAACCATACAACAAGTGCTTCAAACTGGTGCCCTTGAGTCTGAAAAGAGTTATTTATTTTAAAAAAATCAGTAAATGCATAAAAACATGAAATTTAAAAAAGTTTGAAAATGTGACTTACGATCATTCTGTACAAACTCTTCCAACATTTCCACCTGCAGAGAGAATCAATGATTTTCATATGAGTATATATACACATACATAGATAGATATACACAGATCCTTTGAAAAGTTAGAAAATACACAACTTTTTCTGTAATCGTAAAGTTTTTTAGGATATCTTTGCTACCTGGTTCCCAAAACTCCACCAGGCAATTTAAATTGAAATGTCTGCCAAATTTGAACCACTCAGTTTATGGAGTTACTTATTCATATGAACCAAATACCAACAAAATCAGTTTAGCCAGTTTCTAATAATTTGTGACACCAGACAGACTAGAAAAGTCTTGCATTGCTTTTTTTTTTTTTAGAAGAAATATATTTCTGACAAATAAATCAGGAATATTTTGTACTAAAACTTTTGTTTATACAATAACTTTCTTTAATGTATTGTTAAAAAACTTTAAGACTAACAAATATATACAATGGCTGATGTTTTGTAATATCTTACAGTTGTGTAGCTACAACTATCACGTGTCACGGAAATCCTTTTTTTATTTGCCAATGATTAGTGTTCACATTAGCACTTGAATTTGTTAAATTATAGAGACCAAACTATTCGAAAAAAACGTGGCCTCCTTATGTCTTCTTGGGGAAAAAATGGGGTCCCATGTTCAACATATTTTTACCCAAACCATAAAAACATCAGAAATTTCATTCTGTACTACTTACTAACTGTAGTAACGTTTGAATGTTTTCTACACTGCATTGGTTCCTGATATTCATAATTGATCAATACTTTTTAAACACAAATCTATCATACTTAAATCTTGCCTATGGGAAATATTTTTTGGCATTTTAAATTCTGATCTCACATTGTGCAAAAATTTGCAGACACCTCTTCAAAGTTTTCTCTGTCTTATTAAACCATTGAAATTCTGTCAGCAACTCTTGCTAAAAATATCTATTATTTTAACTTTTTAGCAGGACTCCAGCCATGATTTTTCTTTATTATCTTTATTTGATAGTTCACAATTTTGAACACAGTACTAAGTGCACTTCAAATTTCCATGTGATGAATTCCATAAAGCAGTATATAACATCTACTCTTGTAACAACACAGAAAACAGTAGAGATGATGTAGTGTAAAGTTCAAGTAAAATACATACAAATATCTCAATTTTATTAAAAAGTACAGTATAGTGAATAGGAATAAAAAAAACAATATGAAGGTGATCTTAGTCTTTGTCCCCTTTATAAAGCAATTTTCTCCATTACCAATGTTAAAATTCATGTATTTAAATGTAAAAAGTACACTTACAATGTTCTGTTTGTTTGTTTGTTTTGAATTTCGCGCAAAGCTACACGAGGGCTATCTGTGCTAGCCGTCCCTAATTTAGCCGTTTAAGACTAGAGCTAGTCATCACCACCCGCTGCCAACTCTTGGGCTACTCTTTTACCAATGCCCCCACAGCTGAAAGGGCGAGCATGTTTGGTGGGACGGGGAATCGAACCCGCGACCCTCAGATTTCGAGTCGAGCGCCCTAGCCACCTGGCCATGCCGGGCTACAATGTTCTGATCCTATGGGTGAAGTCTATTGATAGGAATTCCCAATTACAATATTTATGAATTCCCTCAGAAAAAAAAACAAACATCTAGAATAATTAAATCAAGTTTCTAAAATACACAAACATAATTTACAAGCAAAACTAACTTGGGTGAAAAAATGACTTATCTATCTATACCTTTGGCCAGCCATTCCACCGATCATTAATTTTTTTCAATTTTACCCAACAAACAATTAATCAAAAAATAATTTAAATAATTAAACATAGATATTTAACTTTTAATCACATTTAGACACTATTTAACTCTCAAAATAATCCACCCTTTTTTTAGGAAAGTTTAAAAAAGGAAAATATTTTTATAAATAAAAAATATGCCAAAGACTAATATTACTTAGGACAAAATGGATCCTCATAAGAAACAAGCTTGTTAAAAGTTAAACAATGAAATGTGTTAATGTTATTACCCGTTGTCAGTTTGTCTTGGGATCAAGTAAGTTAAATAGGCACTAACCTTCAAGATAGTACAGAGTTCAGTAAGGGTTTCTAAATGATTTACGTGGATGATTATTGTACGCAACACATCATACAGTCGTTGACACAAACGTTCCAGAAAAGTGCTGGAAGAGAAAAGCAATTCAACTGGAAATCAGTGAGATTCCATCGTTATAACAGAAACAAATCAGAGATCTGGAAGTTCTTTTATAGTTTCTTTAGACATTCTTTTCATTCCTTGAAAATGTTTTAACCTCAAATTATACCTGTTTGAAAGCCACATAAATTTTCTTCAATTACATTAAGTAAGCTTACTTGGTTTAGCAAGTACAATAACAAACGTTTTCTGATGACTCAAGTCCTTATTTACCGAATACCACCGGGACACGTATTCAAACATGCACATAAGTAAAATAATTTATTACTTATTATTATTATTTATCACTGAAAATTTTTGTCAGTTTTTGACTTGTTTTGTTTACTATTTATAACCAGAAATAGTGACTAATGCAATTGTCAAAATAAAGTAACAAGAAAAATGCATTTATGAAGATCAATCAGTTGAAATTGACTGGATCTAGAAAACTGAACTTTCTGATGAGCAACAAAACAGAAAAAAGAAATTCTAAGATGAATACAAGTAATTTTAGTATTTTTTAAAAATCAAGCCTTACAACAAAATTTTGCAAATTTCACAACCAACTAAATTATAGAAAAAACTACAGCAAATTATATTCAATTCTTTAAAGGTTGAAACTATATATTATTCAGTAAGTTTTTAGTAAGTTTTGTGCAATTTGGTTAAGTATTTCTACTGTTAGGAAGTACAATATCAAATGACACAAGTGACACCACTCCAGTCTTGAAAGGGTTAATAATCTTCTAATAATGTGTTTCTACTTCAAAAACAACATTACAGACTAGAAATGTTCTTGTAATAACAAATCGAGTAATTACTTCAGTTCTTGACTTGGTCGAGAGAAAAAATGCTGGTACAACTGATGCTCATCTTCAGAAAGGTGCACTAGGAAGGCACACCCACTCCTCATCAAAGCACAGTGATCACGCTGGTGTTTCTCTGCTAAGTTTGTGATAGCTGTTGACACACCTGGTCCTAAAAGCAACTCCCTTTGAGTAAAGTAGCACTGATGACAGTCTTCTAAAAGCTGTTGGTATCTATATGTTCAAAATATGAGTAAATGTGAACTACTGATAACAATAAACTTACTTTTCATCAAGCACAGTGACTCAAAACATGTACTTTTCAAATCACCTTTATACAGATAAATTGCTTCTATTTTATAACTATATAGTAGTTTAAAATTCATTTTAAAACAAGTTATCAGTTAGTTTAAAACTAAATTCATTTTGTGCAATGTTTAAGAATAATAATAAAAGAGTATTTATCTGATTTTCAGTGAACAAGTTGTATCCACTTTATTACTAGAGATAAATAATCACAGATACCCTGCCCTTAGCAGACAAATACAACTAGAGTTAAATAATCACGATACCCTGCCCTTAGCAGACAAATACAACTAGAGTTAAATAATCACGATACCCTGCCCTTAGCAGACAAATACAACTAGAGTTAAATAATCACAATACCCTGCCCTTAGCAGACATATACAACTAGAGTTAAATAATCACAATACCCTGTCCTTAGTAGACAAATACAACTAGAGTTAAATAATCACGATACCCTTAATACCATTAATAGCATCTTTCGAAAAACAAATGACAACCACTGATGTTGAATTGTCTATGATTGTGCGATGTTATTCAGGTGTGTTTATTCTTTCATATATTTTCTGCATGTGTGACAAACCTGTGTCATTTAAATTACATACAGATGTCGCTTAGTAATCACTGGTGTTATCCTTTATTTAATCATATTATAGTTTAAGGTTCATTGATTTGAACACGCTGAACGTGTTTCATATAATACCTGAAATTATTGTAAATTAAGCTTCTTTTCAGTCCTACTCTACCTCATTAACAATTTACTTCGCAGAATTGCGAAAATCTTTTTTTTTTTTTCAGATTTCCAAGAAATCTTGTGTTCATATACAAAGAGACAAATAATTTCATGGAATAACTAGCTTCTGGCAACTACTTTTTTACCATTTTTTTAAGGATAAAATTGATTACATTGTAGTTTTTTAAATTTCTTCATTGGTATTTACTACTCTCAATTATCTTTTAAAATCCAACACACCTATGTGATAACTTCAAGTAAAACAAATTGTATTATTGAAGTTAAATAACTAGTGAAATTAAGTTTTGCAAATATTTAATTCTTCTTGTTTGTTTTGAATTTCTGCAAAGCTACACAAGGGCTATATGCACTAGCCATCTGTAATTTAGCAGTGAAAGACTAGAGGGAAGACAGCTGCCAAACAAGCCATCCCTAATTTAGCAGTGAAAGACAAGAGGGAAGACAGCTGCCAAACAAGCCATCCCTAATTTAGCAGTGAAAGACAAGAGGGAAGACAGCTGCCAAACAAGCCATCCCTAATTTAGCAGTGAAAGACAAGAGGGAAGACAGCTGCCAAACAAGCCATCCCTAATTTAGCAGTGAAAGACTAGAGGGAAGACAACTGCCAAACAAGCTTACTCTGAATTTTTCTCAACTCTTTCTTCTATCTGTTCCATCAAAGCTCTTATTCGGGGACCTCGGGCTCGGAATTTTCCATATAAAAGCGTGAAAGCATTATCATTAGGAGAAAGTGTGTCTTTACGAGCTAAGATTTGCTGGGTAGTCTGTTGAAGGTTGGCCATCACGTACGACTGAATCATGCCCAGAGCTTGAGCTAACAGCCGCTTGAACCGAGCAAGATAGGTTTCTGATTCCTTGTACTGAGGCTGAAAAATGGATTAAAACACTATTAGTTGCTTAAAACTGATCCACAAATGTTAGCATGTCTTTTAAACCATTTTCAAAAGGTTACATGTAATTCAAACAATATTATTCACCAATTGAGCTTAAAAATAATACATAAACTATTTTTAGTTGTGGAAAATGTAAATGTATAATCAAATGATTATTAACCCTATAAGAATGAAGTTGGTCAATATGACCAACCTTTGAACTGTGAAACTGTATGCACTATAACTATGAATTTACCATGTGTACCTTCATGACATTTGGCAAGCATTTAGTAAACATTACAAGCCAGTCATAAACAAAAAACCAGATTTGTTTATGAAGTATTTCTATTTAATATTTGTCTGTGAATTTCTGACGCCTTTTCTGAATCATTTGAATGAAAGGTGATTTTCAGGCTAAGGCTTATAAGGTGTTATAAAAGAAAGATAAGTAACAAACTTCTACATAGCTAGTGTTACATCTACAGAAAAACCTAAACAGTAAACTGATGGTTGTAGGAAACTAAATCAAATAAAAATATGCTGTGACTTTATACGGTTGTTTCAAACACATCCAAAAAATTGATTAGTAGTCCTAGTAATTTATCCATTTATAATTTGTAGGATATTGAACTAAATTTGAATATATTCTCTAATGTGATATGAGAAACATGTCTAATCATGAACATCATTAAAGATAACTTACATTTGCTTTCAGATAGGCAATGCAGTCATCTAATCGAGCCAACATTGGAACAAAAGACTCACTAACGACAGAAAGAGTTGGAGAATTCAATTTCTGGAACACATGACATTGTCTTAATAGGTGTTCAATATACTGGTAAACTTAGTATACATATACCTGTAGTACTACAGTAAATGCATTACTATTTATAAAATAAAAAAATAAAAACATATTACATACTAATCCTTTTATAATATATCAGTGAACAATATACTTTCTGAATGGCAGAAAATTAAAATAAGTTACCATTTAAAAAAAATATATCTAAGTACGGTTACAAAAAAAACTCAACCAGATCATTCATATTATAATTTTAAGAGAACAGTTAATTTTTAATATCTTCCAGTAAGTATATCAAAATATCTGTTATAATTTCCACATTCTCATACATTGGCACTTGAATCATGCAGTTTTTATTTCACTGGAAAACTTTTTAGTTGGTTTTAAGCGAAAAGTGAGAATGTGGTCTAACTGATATGTTTTATATCACTTAAAATTTAATTCAAGATCTTTCTTCTGCTACGTGCAATAAATCTGTATCTTTTGCAATTTTTTACTTCAATAAGGAAGCACATTATGCTAACATAATAATAAACAGGCAAACAACAATTCATGAGCATAGTGAAATGATATATTTATGGTGAAACATGTTAAATGTTTCGACTTGAATAAGACAGACCAATGTTCTATCGAAACATGTACTATGTTCCACCATAAATAAATCATTTCATTATGCTTACAAATTGTTTGCCTACTTATTATTCTGTGATTGTATTATTACATGTAATATATGTTTACGTGTTAAATGTTTCGACTTGAATAAGACAGACCAATGTTCTATCGAAACATGTACTATGTTCCACCATAAATAAATCATTTCATAATGCTTACAAATTGTTTGCCTACTTATTATTTTGTGATTGTATTATTACATGTAATATATGTTTTAATAAATTTATGTTGTTTGTCTTTTTCCTTACTCTGTAATACACCAATGAAACAGTGTTCCAAAGGATTTATTAGAAGCATTACTATGAAGTACACTCTAATGCTATCATTCATCATTAACCAAGATTCAAAACCTTTGGCAGCCGAAGGAAAATATGTAATAAAAATAATGTAAATCTTGTCCATTAAACAAGATAAACCACATCAAGTCTGCACTTTCATTAATTTTTTTATACATATACAAAGTCAAACTTTATGGACCAGTAAGTTACAACAATACAATTTTATCAAAAAAAATTAAAAATTATTTTATTTTTTGTAATTCATTGCAAAAATGGAAACTTATGAAAATTATATTGAAAACAGAATTTCTAAAAACCTTTTAAAATCAGACATTCAATAAAAACAAAGCACAATACATTTAAAAAAGGACCTTGTGGCAACAGCAAGTCTTAAAATAACTGTACACATATTAAAAATTTGTGAATCTTTTAACATCTCAAGAGAATCTCTGAAATCATGCATACAGCTTATTTTGAAGACACGTAGCAATTTTTTAAGAGACAAAATAGTACACAGCATAAAATATATACCTGTGAAAGTGTTTCAAGTTCATTAAAGTAACTGAGCTTTTCCTTGATAACTTCTGCACAATTGACCAAAGTAGCCTAGGAAAAAAAAAAAGACACCCTTATTAGATTTAAAACAAAAATTTCACAAGTTGACTAAGTGGCTGGAAAAATGTCTTTTCTAGAAACAAATGTATGAGAGCACTGTTAAAGCTTTAATATATGAACTACATATAAAACAATAAGTATATATGATCATTTTATCCATCTTTCTTACTTATTACATTTTTAGTGGAAGGTTTTTGGTCTCTGTAATAGGATTTTTAACATATTGTGTTATATCTATTTTTACTATAATGTCTTAGCTTTACACCTGGTTTTTGTCTGATATTTATTACATTATCATCATCAGTCTTTCCTAAATTATTTCTTGTTCATTAAACATCCAAAACACCATCTTTTATTTACAACAGGTCAAAGTTGACATCATTATTATCAGATCAACATCCCAAGATGACCAGAAACAGAATGTTTTTATTATCAAATTAGTTTTGTTATAGATAAAACCAATTGTGAAATCTATACACAATTTTACTTCAAAGTTTAATTATCAAAGAATTTTACTAAACACTTTTATTGTCCCTACAAGGATTCCTAATATAACATTTGAAATACTAATTAGCCATGAAATATACAAGTGCCAGATACATTAAAGATAATTACATAAAGTTAACAATAATTTGTGTACCTGATCCGTTAGAAGCTGCTCGCATGCCTCATGTAAAGTATTGGTCTTGTCTGACACAAAAATATAGAGTTTCTGTAATGACTCTAGTTCTTCAAGAGAGGTTGTTATTTCATCAAGAAGACTGCTACATTCCATGTTACTAGTGCAAAGTTGATCAATATACAATCTAAATAAAAAATACAGAACAATGCAGATTAATCATTTATAAAAGAGACTGCACTAAAACACTTATAACTAAAGTGTAACAATTAAAACCCAGGACACAACATTATAGTATTTTTTTTATGAGCTCTGAATAACTTTGGCATCATTAGATATGATGTTAATTTTATCTAAAAAGACATACAAAACCTACATTTAAAATTTAATTAAATAACTTTATTATCAATGTATGTTAATAAACTTGGCATTAAAAACATAGGTTATAATTCCAATGAATATTTTATCTAAGTTTTAATTTCTTAATTTCAAAAGGAAACAATAGATACATTTTCAGTCTTCATTTCTCTGTGATGCATTTCCCCTTCAATTCTTCTTTTTAGATTTTCTTTATTCCATTTATGAGTTTCAGAGTGTCCAACCAATTAGATTACTATAGGTACTGATAGGGATATAAGTTGAGAACCTCCAACCTTCTCAAATTGCCAAGATACAAATTTTTTACACATATCAGTGAAGCTCCTCCCATCTTATCATAGCTTTTAATGAATTTATCTATACCACATGTCCTTATTTGATGGGTATGTTGATGACCAACAGAAAAAGTGATCTTCTGGCTAATAGAAACCTATTAGGGATATTATTTAGGGCATGGAAGTCTAGACGATTCACCTCAGATGGCGTATGTGCAATTGTTACTGTTCAGTCTCAAGCAGCTAAAAAGAATTTTTTAATCTACGTATAGCTTAGTTAGAAACCAGTTAAATTATTAGTGTTGGGACGTTCTATTCTAGTGCCCAATATATTTTCTATGTTCTAAAATGCATATTTGAAAGCTGAACGAACTTTTATTTGAAGAAGTAACTTAGTTAAAAAAGTGAGGTCTAGCACAATTATGATATACACTAATGATGTACTATTGTGATTTATTGCTATTTTGCTGGAGGATTACTGCTGAAATAGATTAAGAACTACAGTAATGAGGCTAAAAAATTAAAGAAAACAGATATGAAAAGGTTAAGAGATGAAATTGCAGATACGAGAAAACTATAAATCCAGTGCAACAACTCATTCAAAGAAAAAAAAAGGCATTGTTAATTATATTTCATATTCTTAAACTTTTTATTTCACTGTACATTGATGATTTTGCTATAATTAGTGTTATGGCAGAATAAATAATAAATAAAACAAAGTTTACCAAAAATAATTTAATATTCATTAAGGAGATCCTAAAAGTTATGCAAAGATTGGAAGATGAAAACGTATTTTTTAATCTCAGCATTAAAATTATCTTGCACTCAAACCGGTCAGCATCTGAGTTGGACAGACTCAGTATAGCTTCAAAAATTCAAGGACAAATCTTTAGTAATTAAAAAAAGGCCAACTTTTTGTGTATAGAAGACTTGTAACATATACTAAAAGCTTGCAAATTTGTGTGAAAATACATAAAATAAATTAAGAATTATAGTAAACATTATTATGTACAGCTTCAATCATACAAGATCAGTCCAATGGACCTCTGCCATTGACATAGGGTCAAAAGGTCATAAAAATATTTGAGTTCAGTCAATTAGTTATTATCTGTTATGTAAGTTAAACTGCTGATTCCCATCCCATGAAAAAGCTTTGATTCTGAAAAACTTTATCTTGATTGAATAAATGGTTCAAGTTTTTACTGACAGTTTCATTATATAGATATATATTAGCCAAGAAATAACCTCAATAAATTCTTTCTTTAAACTACTGAATGTATAGTAAATTACTTAATACAAATACAGAGTTGTGGTTACAAAGTGATATAACAAAGAGTACGATACTGTGTGCCACTGTGGTGCTAGCTCAACTTGTGCTGAATAATACACATTTGAAGTACAGTTGGGTATAAATGTACCCTAGGTGGTATAAGAAATTTAACATAATCTAACATATGTGACATTTAGAAAAATGATTGAAGTCACTTTTTTTATCCTGTTTCAACAAGCTAACAAGGGCCACAATTTCAATTTTCCTATAAACAAAAATGTAATTTGTTGTACTTCATACTGCTCTCTCTAAAAAACACTAATGAAGTTTTGATTTACAATTAATTTTATGGCCTTGTGGTTCATGTAAAATACAATATTTGCCCGAAGTCTAATATTTTAAACCTATTTAAATATGGCAAAATTACTTCAGTTTACACTGCAACAACTCAAAATAATTTTATGTTCTCAGCTAACAGATAAACATACTTTTCCATATGGCAAAAAATAAAAACTTTATTAGTATGAAATACTTATAATGCTTCCATGACAAAAATCTATTAATATGAGGTATTTCATTTCAGTTTGACACAATAAGTATTTTCAGTGAGGGCTACAAAATGGAATTATTTTCCAATATCACCATTCAATTTCTTAACATATTAACACTTACTTCATGGCTTCGTCATCATCTTTCAAAATTCTCTCTTCAATATTGTCAACCAAGGACAAAAACTAATATAAAAAATATTTTGTAACAGAATTTTGATAAGTTAGAGATTACTGCAGTAAAAAATACACAGCTATTTTTTGTTAAAATCTTCACTTAAAAAAACTTTCAAAAACTGATGAAATAGATCAATATACAGTTGAATTTTCACACAATACTTTAAAAAACATGTAATAAATTTATTAACATGACTATATGTAATTAAAGTGTACAAAATAATTTAAGATTTTATGTTAACAAATAATTTGTAATGATTGATAATAGTTATATGTACTTTACATTGTGTAATCCATGAAAATATTCTCTTCATTTTTGCTATAAATTTATAAATGCACAAAAACATTAGTGTATTTACTGTAGCTGTAAACTATAGTGCTACTAAACAGCTTATGAAATAAAAATGTTTATCTTATAGTATCAAAAACAAATAATCATGAATTAGAAATTCCACTATGTTTCAATGAACTGTTTTTATTGAAGGAAGTAGAGTGAAATATTAAAAACTGTGAGAAAATTTGATAAAATGCACATTTCATAAACATATTAAACTTAAAAAGAAAAACAGTTCAATATGCTTGAATTTTGAGAACAACAATATGAATATATGTTACATTTTAAATTTTACATAAATTTTAATAGCAACTCTGAAGAATTAGAACATTGAAAACTTAATAAATAAGATGACAGTAATTATATTTTATACATAAGTGTGAATTATTGATCTCAACATATTAAGTAAGTAGCACCTACTTGTTGTGATGTTTCAACAGTCTCTTCTACTTGAAAATTTACCAAAGCTGAATTTAAGCACATTACTTCAGAATTATTTCTTTCCTTCTGTAGTTCATATTCTGGTTCTAAAGGGGAAATTCGTTCACTGTTAACCTATAAAAAAAAAAAACAATTCTGGCTAGCCCTCTATTGTTACTTTAATCTGGTAAAGCCTAAAAGCACATCTGCAGAGTATTGTCTCCTTGTCTTAATAAGAACTGTTTATTCCTCGCAGTCTCAGCTGTAATGGCCATTTATCCCACAATTATAACAGTTCCCACTTTCTAGTAACCTCTGGAAGTTCTTATTCCATACTGACTTAATTTACAATTCCTCGTAATATGTCCTTCCAAGCTGCACTTGAAACACCTATTTTCTTCTGATCTATTTCCTTATTCCACCTAACAGCTATCTGATTAATTCTTTCAGCTCTTCTAAACTATTATTGGGAGAGTTGAAGTTTCAATACTTAAGAACCTGATATTGCCATGTCTTCTAGATGGTGCCTTCAGTGATTTATATGCAACTTTAATGGATTTAAGTTACATTACCAACTGGAGAGCTTCATTTAAAGATGTACATTGCATCAGTACAGTTGTCATATCATCATCTGTTAAGGTATCTATAAACTGGTCATGTGCCAATGAATCCATAATTTCACAAGAAGCATCTGGGTAAAATAACTGGACACACCTCTCCAAATCATCCACAAGTTTGGCTAAGGTCTCTTCTTTCTTCTGACCTTTGTTCCTAAACATTGCTCTGGATACTTTCTTCAGGTGCATCATTCCAAATCTGAGGTGACTACCAATGTTTGATAATTATTACAGCTCTCAGCTGGAAGGTTATTTAATATCATCAGAGCCAGTCTTTTTAACTATGTAGCAAGATGAGTGGCTTGTTGACCACTTATCCAACCATTCACTCTGGAAATGAGTGAATGTTCATTGGTTTCTCGATTGCTCGATGATGACCTTGCCAGCTAAGTTTAGGGCCTTTATTTGGTAGTGCCACAACTGAAAGGTCTTTCAGTAAGAGATGGAACAGCAGTAGTCATAACAGATGTAGGCAAAGTAAGTTCTTCTATTAAATATTTTGTAGTAGATGGTTTTTATGTTGGAATTCGAGCTGATGTATAAGGATGTGTGACTGGTTTAATCTTTGCATTTAATAATTTGTTTTCCACATCATTTATTCTGTGATTGATCTTCTTTTCTACCTCATTGATGTCTTTCTTTACTTTTGTCATTACAGCCTTCCTATACTTCGTTGATGTCCTTCTGCCTTTCTCCACATTTATTGTTGTAATCCCTCTATATATCCCCCTATAACTTTATTCATCTTTTATTCAATCAGATTTATGTTTGATTTTAATTTTTCTTTAAACAGTATGTCTCTTTCTTTTAACTCCTCTCTTATATTTTTGTCTCTTAGTCTACTTTAATTTTTTGTCACATTCCTCTCATTTTTGACCTCTTTCTTCTTGTTCGTCTTTCAATAATTCCATCATATCAAGTAACACTTAAACAGTTAAACTCAAATTTAGTATATTCAAAGTTCTATTTTATTTTCATCAAAACAATTGCACTTCTAATATTCAGTTCACTTAATGAGAAATTAATTTACTTCTTAATTAATGTAAACTTGTAACTAGTACTCTTTGTTCACAAATGATTCTCAATATCTCAATAACAGTAGTACAACCAGCATACAAATAAATTTACTTGTACTATTTCACAGTTAATCAACATAGTAACTGAAAATACATGAGCTAAGATTGATCCAAATACTTCACTCTAACAACTGAAGACTACAACCGATTCAATTCTTGTCTCTTGACATTCCCTGAATTTACCAGAATCTTGGCTTCAAATCTAAAGCATTTTAAATAATCTAAGCTTACTTTTATAAACTTACTTGATCTTAACATCATCTTCTCTCTAGCTAGCATCCAAATTGCAACAACAATACATTACATCATATTAGTCATAAATACCTATACTCTAGGTATATAGGTATTTTCACAAATCACTAAAAAACATTTTATTAATACAGTTATTACCATTTTAAACTTTACATATAATGAAATTAATATGTCTATCAGATGACTAAGAAACAGAAATGCTTATCTATATATGAAAGGTATAAACATGTACAATGAACTATTCAATTTATAGTTACTCTGCGTCCACAATTTTTGCCTTGGAAAATATCACTACCTAAAATATGGTGCCTAAACTGCAATCTTGTTTTAGAAGTCATTTTAAATTACCTTATACTAAAAGTATTGTAGAATACAGTGGTGTATCATTTTAAAATTCTGAAAAAATGTCTTAGCAGAAAGGAAAACAAGTTGTTAAAAATGCTTACTCACTTAAGAAGTATATAACTTTCAATGCATAATATTAACTTTGTTATAGTGGATTCACATATGAAAATAAGTCATGCAGTTCCCATAACATTTACAGATATTATATTCTATCCCTATACTACAGCACATCAAATTCTTATATCAGTATTCCTTGTCTATATTTCACTAAATATTAAAATATTATAACTGTGTTTATTAGATGATGCTAACAATAACTTCAGTAAGTAACACATATCTTATATTCCTGTATTATGACTGTCTCCAGTATTTTATATATCACACTCACAGGCACATATGTACATATACACAGTATATATTTTATGATATAATTGTAACCTTTAATATACTATGTTTTTTTTCACAACTTTTGCCTAAAAGCAAAATGTTTTTAACTATCATTTTTAGTGCTGTACATTGTAAATTAACGAGGCTGCATTTAGAAATAAAGCATAAGAAAAATCCTAAAAATATTATTGTTAATGTTATTAATGGTATACAGTTATTTAACTTCGTGTATTATATTTTAAATTTAGTTCCAGTTAGCTGGTAAGACTGTTAAACTTAATATGTTTACTTGAAATATGCCACATGATGAAATTATAAATAAAACTATGTTACTGTCAGGTTTATCAATCGTAATATTTTTACTCTCGTTTTGTTTCACTGTCTCTGTTTCTGCTAGTGCTAGTATTACTATTAGTACTAATGCAGTGACTATGTCGACTCAGTAAATGATTGAGGATAAACATATTTTCTCAATTAAATGCTTACCTCACTAGGTAAAAGCCTGAAAGCAACAATCGACATTAGTTCTTCAATACTTTCTTTCTGCAAAGATGTTAGTGGAGCTAGTGGATCTATATCTCGCTCCCAATCGTTCAATCTTTCTAAAACCTCTTTCATTTCAGTTGTTGAATAACCAGCCATGTTGTTTCTTTAGTGTATCCGAAGTTTAGGGAGCAATTTTTAATTGCGTCAATTCATATTCTAACAAAACATAATCTGTGAAATAAAAAATATGTTTTGCAAAGTAACAAATTGGTGTTTACTAGCACTGTTTTAAATGATTTTGAAAATATAAATAATGCATAAATCAATCTCCATAAAAATATATTAGTAAACAGCGAGAAAAAAGATTGTAAATATAAACTTTGTTCCTAATACTGAAAATAATATGCTTAGAAATTTCGTTATGCAAAAGCAATAGAGAACTCGCGGTACAAATTTTTTATCTTTTGTGTTTTTATTGAAACTAACCAACTATAGATATAATAAAAATCGTATCCCAAATTTTAAAAAATTGACTTCCAAAATTACATGGAATCATGAGAGAGAGATTGAGTGGACTATCATAAATGAAAGAAAATCAATGTATATTTGTTTGTTATAGAGCACAAGGCTACACAATGGTTTGTTTTTGATGTGCACATTACGGTTATCGAAACCCTGTTTTTAGAGGTATGAGAACATGACATAGATAAAGGAATAGTCAATAAATGACTTAAATTTGCAGATGATATTAAGGTATTGGGTGTTGCTAGCTGTGAAGAGGATGTTGCTGATTCACAAAAGGATTTAGATCATTTAGTGAGTTGGGGAATAAATGGCAGATGAGTTTTAATTATAATAAATGCAAGATAATGTATGTGAGTTATCATAATTTGAATTATAAGTGTAATTTGGATGGGAATAACATTAACAGTGTCATGAAAGAAAAGGATCTTGGTGTAATGGTTGATCAGTATCGTAAGCCATCCAAGCAGTGTGCTGTTGCTAGTGGTAAGCCAAATAGGATTTTAGGTTTTATGTACAGAAATATTGAGTACATGTCCAAAGAGATTATAATTTCATTGTATAGGTCACTGGTTAGGCCACATTAGGAGTATTGTGTTCAGTCTTGGGGGGACATTGAATTATTCGAAAACGTTCAGAGGATGATTACTAGAATGGTACTTGGGATGGAGGGTTTGTCATATAAGGAGAGATTAAGATCTTTGAAACTAGGGATGTATGGCTACCCGGTAATACTCGGCTCCAGCCGAGTATTGAAGCTAAAAACAGCTGAATCTGGGAAATTGAAAATGGCATCTAAGCCCTAATCTTTGTGGCAACTTACGTGGCACTGAAAGTTACAGTCAAAATGTGGTTTAGCTAAAGAAAACGTATTCCAAGCAACAAAGACTGACCACCCACTAAATGTCAGGATTCAGAGTAAAATAGGGGTCAATAACAGGTATGGCTTGAGAAGTGAATTTCTGGGTAAGGTGGGGGTTTTGAGTGGTTAGGGGTTTGAGAAGTTGGGGCTAGGCATTTATTGACATAATGATTCTAAAACGTGTCAACATAACTGTTTCTGCATTTTCTTTCACTGGCCTCAGAAATCGCACGGAGTTGGTAAGTAATTTTCAATTTTTCTATCTCAATAAAAATTACATTACAAAGTTGTCAGTTTCGTTATTTTTCCACCCTGTATATTGCTCTTGCCATCAGGCTTTTCAACTCAGTTCATCACTGCTTCTTGCTGTCATGCAAAGTTTAATTTTACCTTCTTTCAGTCAAACTTATATTAACTTGTTATTTTAATAATTTTTCATTCCAATAGTAAACGCCTTCCCTAGTGGCACAGCAGTATGTCTGCGGACTTACAATGTTGGAATCCTGGTTTTGATACCCGTGGTGGGCAGAGCACAGATAGCCCATTGTGTAGCTTTGTACTTAATTACAAACAAACCAAACATGGCTACTTGGTCTGGAGATATTTTATGTGGCAAATCAGATCGTTTTGCAAAGTGCACCCTTTTCTCCACAATGATATCTAGAGGTGGCATGTCGCCCAGGACGTTTGGAACCACATTGCTGAGAAATCATCTCGCTTCATTTCATAAATAGAATTTGCAAACATGCAGAGTGACGAAAACGAGAACAATAAGAGAAAACGTGACGACGAAGATACTGCTGCTGAAATTTCAATGGCCAACAGGAGTAAAACGCATACTCTCGAGCATTGTCTTCAGAAAGCTAAACCCTTCTTCAGTGATGACCCGTGTGCACATTGATTACTCGTGCCATTAGCGAGAGGATTGTGCTTGATAAGCAACCGTATTCGATTGTTGAAAATGAAGGATTCCAACGTCTAATAGCCAACAACCGTATTCGATGATTGAGAATGATAGAATTCCAACGTCTAATCGCCACCTTAGAGCCTCGTTATAATCATCCCAACATCACTTTTCAGACTTTGCAATCCAAAAACTACATGATGAAGTTTAAGGAAAATTGATAATTGCCCTTGAAGAATCTCTCATGCCAGACATCAGCATTACTACAGATGCATGGACTTCTGATGGCAACCCTGTATCCTATCTCGTCGTAACTGGATTGACAGAAACTGGGATCGACAGCTCATGCTTCTATCTCTTAAGCACCTCCAAGAGTCATACACAGGACCGAATTTGTCGAAAGATTTTCTCAATGTAATTGGCAAGTGGGATCTGCAACCCCAGCATGTTCACGTCGTGGTCCGAAACAAATGTCTTAAATCTAAGCAACATATCCAATGTGGAATGCATGGCTCATACCTTGCAACTTGTGATACACGATGGAATACTAAAGCAGAAGTCCATTGATGATGTCCTCGATTGTGGACGATCTGTTGTTGATCATTTTAAACATCCAGTAAAACTGAAAGAGATTCAAGCGAGCATAAGTGTCGTCCAGCACAAGTTAATTCAAGATGTACCAACAAGCTCTCATAACATGCTCAAATACCTAGTCGAGCAAAAATGAGCCCTGACGATCTATTCCTCTGACCATAATGTCAGCACTTTTACTCAATCCCAGTATTCCATAGCAGAAAATGTTCCATTCTTAAGCCATTTGAGCGTGAAACAAGGAATTTGAGTCACTCATACGCCTGTGCATCTGATGTCATCCCAGCGAAGATTTTGAAGGAAAAATATTTCCGACCAGAAATTCAACGGTCTGCTCACATTGAAAAATCCTCCATTATAATCAATGGATAAGCGATTCGCCTCCTGTGAAGAAACCAAAATTTACACATTCGCGACATTAATTGACGTGCCTCTGCCTTTCTGACAGAGAAAAGGACAGCCTATGTGAAGGCTAAGTTGATTTCATTACCACAAGCTCATGATCTCTCTGACCAAGAACCCCCAAACGATGTTCCAGAGTTAGAGGACCCCTTGGCAGAATTTGAGTCAAAGATACAATGTAAGTAATCTTTTATACTTTTTTATTCCTCCACCTCCCTTTTTCACCTTTTTCTTTATCTTTTCTTGCCTTTGATTCCACATTATAAAGTATTTACTGTTTCGGTTTGCTGACTATAAACTAATGTATAATGTAGTCAATTTGTACTTGGAATTTTTGTGCTTCAGAAAAAAAAAATCAAAATGCTAGCAGAGTTTATCTTCTTTTAACAGTAGATGAAAATGCCAAGAACTGCAACAATTTCTTGATGAGCCACCAACTTTCCGTTCAAAGAATCCCGACATGCTCGACTTTTGGAAGTCAAATGAAGCTCGATTTCCCACAATGGCCAAGATAGCAAGGCGTTACCTCTCCGACCAGCGTAGACAGCGAACGGGCTTTTAACACTGCTGGCGACATTATCACACACGAAAGGTCAAGGCTTTTACCCGAAAACGCCGAAATGCTACTGTTCCTCAAGTACAATTTAAACCAGTGTTTCTCAACCTTTATTTGCTCGTGGCTTCCCTTTTGAGTTTGATTTATCTCTGTGGCCCCACCCTTCGTAGATGCTGTTACTTAGGGAAAAAGTCACTTTATTTCCACAATGTTGATTTATAATATTATTTTTACAATATTGTAGTCCCCCAATGGCACAGCGATATGTCTGCGGACTTACAATGCTAGAAACCGAGTTTCGATACTTGTGGCAGGCAGAGCACAGATAGCCCATTGTGTAGCTTTGTGCTTAACTTCAAAAACAAACAAACAATATTGTATTGTTTATAACATACTGTTTACTTATACAAGTAAAAAATATTCTGTTACTCATTGACATTTTATTCAGCGTGATCCTTGGGCCTGATGAACACTTGAAAGTTTTTGAATGTCCAGTTGCAGTGTGGTCAGTGATAAGCGAAGATCACCTCTCTTCAAAACATCAAGATGGTTACATATTTTTGATAACAAATAAGTCACCCGACTAAAACCAGATTCAACCAGATAAGATGTGGGAAAGGCGATAAAATACAACTTTGTCTTCTCCCAGAGCTGTTGAAACTTATTAGCTATTTCACTACCTATCCAGAAATAATGTCTGTCACGTTTGAATCTAGCTTGGGCTGTTGAAATATTTTATTCGGGCAGTGAAGTTTCGGTGGCCCACTCAGAATTTACTGTGGCCCCCTAATTTTCTGTCATTCACTTGTGACCCATTAGAAACATGGCGTGGCTTCCTAGTGGGCCATGTAGCCCACGTTGAGAACCACTGATTTAAAGAAATTCTAAATATACAGGTATTCTGTTAGTTAATTTTGAAAGTTCAAAGTAAAACTTGAATGTTCTGTTGGTGATTATTTGGTTAAATGTAATAAACGTCAATTTTTTTTTCTAATTTTTGTGTATGTTGTTTGTTTGTTATTGTTGTTGTTTTTTTGGGTGGGGTGGGGTGCGAGGAGAGAACCAGGCCAAATTGTACTACCCGTGAATCCCAATTTGGAACTGTTTTCTCATGAAAAAAGAAGAGTTAGAGGGGATCTGACTGAGGTTTATAAGATTGTAAAGGGAATTGATAGTGTTGATGCATCATCTTTTTTAATACTTAATGGCGAGAATAGTAAGATTAGAGGATACAAATGTAAATTTTTGGCAAGGTAGGTGTCATCTTCAAGGTAGGTGTCATCTTCAGCTAAGACAGTTTGATTTTTCGAACAAGGTGGTTGGCCTCTAGAATTTGGATGTAGCCTTTGGATG